CAGACAGCAGCAGCATAAAGAGGAATTCTTCCCTTTCTGGCCTCATGCTGCTTTTCTACCACAAGGCTTTGCAGCCATCTGGATCCCCTTTCAGCTTATGCCCCCCCTTCCCAAAAATCCATAACCTAGCAACCTTGTTTAGTGTAAACGAGAGCATTATGCTTTCCTGCATCCCAGTTTGTGCCTTCCTGAATCCCAGTTTCTGCTTGGCTCGTCTGACTGCCTTTATAGGATGGCTGCTAGCAGCTGTGATCCCTTTGCTGGCACAGGGTGCCTACCTCCAGCAGGATTTCGTAGGACTATTGATCCCTGGGTGTTGCACTGATCAGTATTTTTTACCCATTAAAGGACGTCGGGAAAGACAGGGGGAAAAGGTTTCAGGAGGTTGTTTTGTCCATCTGCTTGTCCATATAAAAGAGTGGAGAGGGTCAGTTGCTCTTTGGCTTTGCTGAAAGTGATTTGCTTTAGTTCAGCCTTGATCAAAGTGATATCTTGTTTTTGCTTCCAGATGGGATATTTTGGAAGCTCTCAGTGTTATCACCCAGCGTTTTCAAATTCCCTGGAGTGTTTAACACCAATTTCTCAGCTCCTGACCCTTCAGCTGCATAGGCAAAGTGTTTCTCATGGAGTTCCCAACTTGCTTTCCCTGAGGAACCTGTTTATTGGGGAAAACTGGAAATGAGGAAAAGCAGTCACAAATGAAGGTGAAAGATTATTTCCACCAAATGAAGCAGTAGGAACAGGGAGCTACAATGCGTGGTCTGAGGCTGCTCGCCCCATGGTGATGTCTGTGCTCTCTGTGCTCTGTTTGGGCTAAATTGAACCCATTAATAACATACATGCTTAAATTTTGCAGTACCTATGGATGCTATGACAGAGGGCAGGGATGGGATCCCATCATCATCACCCTGTACATGGAGACAGGGAGCTGCTGCCTTCTGCTTTCACCCCAGGAGTAGGAACAGGGCTTAAGGGCAGGAGGAGGCAGCAGAACATCCTTTCCCACTGCACTTTTGGGAGGAAGAGTGAGCTCAGTAGGTTGTGACGTTAGAGCTGTGTGCCAGGAAAAAGGGGAAAAAGGTCATTACAAATCCCCAGGGCCAAAGGGAGAAATTCCTCAAGTATTATTTAATCTCTGAGAAGTGAATTGAACTGTCCTTGGGCAGCTTTTCTGAGCAGGAAGCTGCCGACTGTTTCAAACCTTCCTGATAAGAGTTGTTCAGCCCTCATCTCTCTGATCCAAGCAGGGCTGTCCTCCAAACTCCTCTTCCCCCTCCTCCAGACCGGATTGAAAAGCGCTATTGATTTGTATTTATTCTGTTTATTTTTGCCTCTTTTCCTGGAACTTGCAAAATCAGCCCTGAGCAAACCTCTGGATTGCCTTCCCAGCAGCGCTGGGCGAAAGCACTTGACTTTAAACCGGGAGGTGGGAGCTGCAGCTGACCTATTTCTGCATATTTCTCTGCCAACGGGAGCAAAAACATTTTCCCATTTAAAGGTTCTCTTCAGTTTTAAGGTTCTGGGATTATTTGTGTGTTGAACTGTCCAGAATCAAAAGGACTTGCTGGAAATTCCAGTGGTGCCAGTTGCGCTGAAGAGTGTTTCTTTCCTTAGAAAGACCTTCCAGTTTTTCTCCAGTGACTGATTGCTTGGTTTGTTGTCACATCATTCTGTCCCTTGCCCAAAGGCAGTGGAGAGGGTTAAGGTTTTGTGTTTGGTGTTGGCCAGGGAACACAGCCAGGAAATTTCCTGATTCCAGTTCACACAAAGCATCGGATCTGCTGTCGGGGAGAAGGGGTCAAAGGTCTGAAGCACTTCGTGGCTGGAGGGCAGTTTGGATCCTTGGTTGTCCAGCCACACACCAAAACCCCACTGTGACCCCCCCAGACCCTCAAAATGCAGGAAACAAGCAGATTTTGTGCTGTTAGACACCCAGAAATTTGCTCTGTTGCTGCCGGTGGTGCTGCGTGGCCCAGGCCAAGCGTTGCTGGAGCTCCGTGTGGCTCTGCCCATGGTGTGAGGGACCTGTTGGGATGCTCCCTGCTCCCATCACACTGTCCCATGCCCTCATTAATTCCGCTCATCAATAACACTCTTGAGCCCTGCACCATTGCTCACACTCCTCCTCCACTCACTGCCAGGTCTGTGGGGTAAAAGATGTGTGCCAGGTTGGATGCTCCGAGCCAGTGCTGGACGTGGCACCATCCCTGTATTAGCGTCATCGCTCCATAAAATCACAGCATGCCAAGAGTTTTTGTTTTCCCTCCACGCATAATCCTGTTGTTCCCTGGTTTTGGACAGTAAAGGCCATCACTCCTGACCGGAATAGCGCTGAGATTTCCCCCCACTCCATGCCAGGTGAAGGCGATGTGGCTGCATGGCACCTCTGGGGTGACAGCGATGCCGGGTCGGCGTTGGCTCTGCAGCTGCCTGTGATTTTCCCATCGCTGTGCTGCAGATCCTGGCACTGGACCAGCTCCAGAGATGGAGCTGGAGGAAATTCCTTCCAGCTGCTGGAGGTCAGAGCGTCGCTTTGCTTTGGGGTTCACGAGGGGGATTTTTTGCCTGTGAGTTAAGCTCAGGCACCTCTGGCTGCTGCTTCTTAACACCTGGAAAAATCTTAAGTATTACCCAGTTAGCCATAGCCATTAAATAACCTTCCTACTGTGGATTCATTCCATGGAAGAATACCCTGCTTCACTGCACAACTTGGGCTGTTTCAGAAAGGTCTTGTCAGCTGCTCCCAGTTTAACTTTCAACCGAGTTAATAACCCTTTTGGTTAAACCTGTCTGAAACGCGTTGCGTAAGGCCTTTGAAACTGGAGACGCCGTTCACGCCCGCTTGAAATCTTTCCCATCGATAAAATATTTCAACTTGGAGTTTGGCCATGGCTTAGGGTTCTCTTTTCCCTGGGACTCATGATTTTGAACCTGCCTGTGTCTGGCTACACAGAGTTTTTAAAGTTCAGTATTTCCCAGAGATGGATTTGCCTCACTAGTGGGTGGAGATGCTGCAGGGGCTCAGACCATCAGCTTCATCTAGTTTCCTCAGTTAATGCTTGAGGAGTTCAGTCCTGTCCGAATTTGCTTAGAATCCCTGTGGAGGAAGTTGCTTGTCTTGAAAACATAAGGTGTTTAAAAATGGGGTTTTATTTACAAGAGCAGAGGCAGAAGCCACCTCTCTGCATCATCATGTTTACGTATGATGATGCACAGCACTTGCATGGCCCTTTTTTGCACTGTGTTATAAATAATAATGAAATTTAATAAAAAAGGGACTAGCAGCTCTTTTTTATAAGTAAAAGCCTGAGAAGGAGCTCAGTTCAAATCCATGTAGCAAAGCAGCAGGAAAGCAAAACTTTGCAGCTTCCAGCTCATGGATGATGCTCATGGCATCACCTCCCATGACGTAGCAGCATTCCTGATGTCACCCCCTAGGCTCTGACCATTACTCGGCTCATTCCCCTCCTCTCTGCCTCAGTTTCTCTACCTGTAAGAAGATAATTGCCTCCCTTATTAATCCCTTGGAGATCTGATGAACACTGTGGGTAGGAGGTTGGCCCCGTGCATTAAGCACATTAAGTGTTTGCTGTGGTTATAATGGGGATTAATTTGGCAGTGTGGCTTCTTGGGTTTGCCTTTAACAGCCTAACGTGTAATCACAGTGCTGCGACGCCGACGAGCTCATGCTGACCTGCAGCACTCCCTTCCTGGCTGCTCCATAAGCCATGAACCAGAACTTGGCTTTTAATTAAAGCTTGGTTTGTTCTCGTTGAAGAAATGTGGATGTGCTTGGCCCCATGTGGGTGAGTCATTGGAGGGTATAGGAAGGAGGAGGCATGGAACTTGGGTCATTCTGTGTTGTGGCATTGCCTGCAAGGACTGTTGTTCCTTGTTACTTTTCATGGAGTCCTAGAATGGTTTTGATTGGAAGGGACCATAAAGACTATCTAGTTCCACCCCCACTTCTGTGGGCAGAGACACCTTCCACTAGCCCAGGTTGCTCCAAGCCCCATCCAACCTGGCCTTGAACACTTCCAGGGATGGCACAGCCACAGCTTCCCCTGACCGCCTCTGCCAGTGTCCCCTTTCCTACATGCACATCCCAGGGGTGCATGGAGCTGCTGGGAGCAATGGGTGCCCTGGGAGAGGCAGTGGGTGCCTCACAGGCATCATCTCCCTGCTCCGAGAGGCCTTGACCATGGAGAGAGCAACAGGGAGGCTTTTGTTCTGCACCAGAAACTTTTCGTCCTTCTGTATGGTTCCTTTTTTATTTATTTTGGCTGCATTCACACAAATCTGTAGCAGATTAAAATACAGTTCCTCCCCCCGACTCCAGTTAAAAAAACCCAACCCAAAGCTTGGCTGCTTGAAATCGTCAGATTTCACTGGAGGCTTTTAAAGTTAACAGTTTCCTGGATCCTGGGCAGGATAACTGATTTTTCCCCTCTAACCTCTGTGTTTTTTGCTGTAACATTTCTCAGCTGTTGCAGCAGGAGGGAGGGAGGACCAGGGCAGCTCTGATGTGGAGAAGGTTATTTTATGTGGGAGTTGGATGAATCTGGTGTGGGACTCACTGGACTTGCACCGTAGGGGTCTGAAGGGTTGTGGTCTGAAGGAGGCTGAGTCCCCACGGTATGGCTGGCAGGTAGGTCATGGCTGCATCGGTGATGTCCTTTTGGTACAAATATTAGGGCAGTGGTTCCACTGGAAGAAGAGGGTAGGATTCTGTGGGTGGGTTGGAGCTCAGTTTCTGCTGACCATGTGTTTGCTGGGGGCTGTGATGGATTGTAGCTGTGGCTGTGGTCACAAGGACTGGTGCAAGAGCAGCACAGTTCAGGTGGCCACATCCACAAGGAGTTTTTCTGGCTTGATGGGATTTACTGCCCTAAATGCAGCCTGGATCTTCCTTACCCACTGTCTCTGCTGTGGCATCTCCTGGTGGGATTGCTGAGCTGAAACCCGTGACTATGGGAAGAAGAGGGTCACAAGTTAAAGGAGTTGTACAGGAAAGAAATTTAATAGTCTGGTGCTGGTTGGTTTTGTTGCCTCTTCTCCAAGAGTGGTCTCTCCTTACTTGCAAAAGTCACCTGGAGCTTTCCCAGATGGAACACGTTTCTCTAAGGTGGTTGAAGAGCTGGAGGCAGCCAGCCTTGGCCAACAATGGTGATTATCCACACAAGCCCAGGGGTGAGGTGGGGCAGCCAGTTCCGCATCCTCCAGCCAGAGCCACGTCCTCCAGCCAAGACATCCTCGTGGCACGAGCGTGACCGAGGGGAGAGCTCCTGAACCGTCTAAAATCCCTTTGACCTAGCAGATGGCACAGGGCTGGGACCCAAACCCGACCCTACGCCACGACGCTGAGCTGCGCATTAACTCCACTGGAGCTGGGAACAAAGGTTTGGGGGCCGGTTTGGGCTTCTTTTTTATTGATTTGCAAAGCAAACCAGCTCAGCTGAGCGGAACAAGCGTCGGTGGAGGAGCGTGAGCTGCCGGGTGGTTGCTGGGCTATAAAATCCCATCCCCTGGCAGGGGGTGTGCCGACTCCCCGAGCTCACGTTGGCCGGGAGAGGTTCTGAACATGCGTGTTGGTCTCTGGAGGCTTTAATCAAATCCAGGCTTTACCAGAAATCGCCTCGAAACTTCCAGGGAGCTGAGGAAACCGAAAGCAGACGGAGCCAGGAGGCTCCGGGCGGGTGTTCGGCGCCGGCAGGGATGGTGCCATTGGCGAGGAAAGTGCGGGTGAGGGGCTAGAGCCGGCAGGGCAGCTGGGATGGAAGGTGAGTCTGCTTCCAGAGAATATGCTGAGAAGACAGAGGAAAGCCAAAAGGGTTTGGCTAAAAAGGGGTCTTGAAGGAAAAAGGAGATTCAGGACTGAGGATGCTGCTTGGAGGAGTGGGACATTGAGAAGACGCTTTGATTTTGGAGTGTCGCTCCCTGGCGCATTTGGGATCAGGTCCTGAGGTTTCCCCACCATCTTCTACCCCATGGAAAATGAGGAGCTGTGCAATTACTGCGCCATTGAAAACTCCCTGCTCCAGGAGAGGGTTTTGTTATTCCTCAGTGATTTTATTTGGGAAACAGGGTTCAGACTGCAGGTACTTACCTTGCTTGTTGTGAAACTTAATGGCATGCTGCATCCAGCTCTCTCCCGTGGGCAGAAGGGAAAACAAGGTGTATTTTTTGACTTCCCTTTCTAAGCTGGGGGTGGGGGAACTTTATGCCTGGCCAGAGATGTTGTGATCATTCAAGGGTGAATGGCTCAGATAGTGATAGGAAGATAAGAAATAACAAACAAGTGCAATTAAAATCATGGAGGAGATGATAGGCTGAAGTCGTTATCCCAGGCAGCTGCTCCGGGTTTAATTGGGTCTCTGGGAGGGGAGGGAAGTTCTGGTCACGCGTCCCAGACGTGGTACGTGACAGCCAAAATTGCTGCGTCTTCCTCTTGGCTGCTACTCGCAGCTGCCTCAGGGTTTGGCTGGGGGGAGCAGCCTGGGGCTGGGCTGAGGAACACAGCTGAAACCTGCAAAAGTGCTCTTCAACCACCAAACCCAGATCTCACGTGGGAAAACAGACAAAGCCTCTTTATAGACTCCACAGTCTCCCTATAATTTCTCTCGTCCTCTTCTGCTGGGGATGCACTGGGAGTGTGTCAGACCCGTGCCAGGCCCTGTGTGTGCTTGATGGTTTTGGATGGGGGGGGTTTATGGAATGAGGAATTGGTCTTGGAATCGGCTGGAGGGGATAGGAGGAAAACCCGGCCTTGCTCCAAGGCTTTTGGCTGCCTAGCTCCAAGCAGCCTTGCTCCAAGGCTGTGTTTTTACCCAATTACTGCGGGGTTTGAGGGACACTGGCTGCAGCTGGGGCTGTTTGGATGCAATTCCTGACATTCATCTAGTGCAGTGTTTAATCTGGAGGTTGACCTGTGTAAGGAAAATAGCTGGAGGAGAAGCTCACAGCAGGAGAAGGAAAATCCCAGCCCTGGCTGCTCCAGCTTTGTTTTCAGGGATAGTGAGCTCTGTTACGCTGATAGTCCCTTTTGGGCAAGGATGCCTTCCCCTTGGAGAGGGATGAGCAAGGAGGGAGCACTGCTCGCTGCCCTCTCCATCCCCCTCCATCTCCCTTTGGAGGGACCACCGGTCTCTGAAGGGCATCTGAAAAGAGCCTCACATCCATGTGTTTCTCCCTGTCTCCACAGCCTACCCATGAGCTCGGACTTCCAGCATTACAGTTTCAGGATGCCGAACATTGGGTTCCAGAACCTGCCTCTCAACATATACATCGTGGTTTTTGGCACAGCCATCTTCGTCTTCATCCTCAGTTTGCTCTTCTGTTGCTACTTGATCAGGTAAGAGAATGTTGTAGGAGATCATTACTCAAAAGCTGCTCCTGTTCCATGCCTGTGACCAATCCCTCCATCCCCAAAAGAGGGTGGCATCACCCTATCTTTCTGTGACATGTCTCATCCCAGCATGTTGTCCCACAGGGCAGTGACATATGCTCCAATGGGCATGGAATCATGGTTGGCTTCGCAAGAGCCTGGAAAAGGGATGTTTTATGGTCCCTCCTTTCTGCTTAATGTTTCAACACGTTTACATCTGTAATGAGTAACTTGTGTCCTGTGTGCTTAAGAAATGTTTAATACCTGCTCCGTTGGCTATTGAACACAAATTGCTCCTTCAACAGCTCTGTTTGGAGATTAATGATGCAGAGTTGATGTGTTAATCTGAGCCATAGGGAGCAGGACAGGAGGGTTAAAGGTTGTTCCAGTTTGGGCCTTGTTTTAATTATTTTATGGGCCATTGGGGAGATTGTTGGGCTGCTAATTGAGAGGAGAAACTCTTCCTGCTGGAGGGAAAACAAGAGGCAAGTGGGGAAAACCACAGTGCCTGGGAATGGAGGTGGTGATGAGGGCAGGTTATGCTGATGGCCCGAGATGGGGCCTTGCCGTGCTTCTCCCTGTGGCTGGGAGCAGAGGGCATTGCTCTGGCAGCCATGTCAGCCAAAATCCTGCATGCCCAGAGCTCTGCCATCCAGCTTTTCCATCCCCTTTCCCCTCCCCTCTGGCTTTTCAGCTGACCCCAACTCCCTGTTTTCCATCCATCCATTGTATCCACTCCCTCTGTTCCAGTAAGACAGGCTCCCAGTCTTGCACCAGGGAGCCTGTCTCTGGCTGGCTCACAGCAGCCATTCCCACCAGGTTTTCTATCCAGAGGATGTTAAAGATATTTTGTCCTGATTTTGTAGGCCAGGGAAACAAGATTTCCATTTCACCTTCTAAATATTTGATAATTTCCACCCATTTTCAGCTCTGTATGAAGCAAAACCTCATAAAACTTTCAGATGAGCCCAAACCCAGGTTTACCCAGGGGTGATTTGGGCTGACTGGGCATCATATCTTCATTTTTGCACACAATTATGCAAAAGAAAAGGTTATTTGAAGCTAAAACACATCTGTCCACCCTAGCAAACAAGGCAGAAACACCTGGAGGGATCATCCCTGACCAGACAATTCATATCTTGTTGCTCAATGTTACCAAGGTCTGTGCTGGGATATTGCATCTGTATCCAGTGTTCACATTTTAATTGGGACACCAGTGGGAGGGGATGCAAGAAAATAGACCAGAGGTGTTCAGAAGGCTCAGGGACATGTTTTGCTCAGGTGGAGCTTGAATCTATATGGCTCGCTTGGCGAATGAAGAGGTGTTTGGATTTTCAGAGTGTTTTCCTGGGCACTGGGTCCAGCTGGGTGTGTTCTGCCCCAAAGAAGGAATAACAAGTGGTAATGTCTGGAAGGTCAAGCCAGAAAATCTTTAAATTTAGAAGTTGGAGGCGTGTTGTAAGTGAGTAACCAGTGAAGGAAGCCAGCAAGGAAGTGGCACGTCCTCTGTCTCTTCACGTCTTTAAATCAAGACCGAGGACCTTCCTGGATGAGACATTTTGGCTCCTGTTCCCGAGGTGCTATTTAGCAACCTGTAATAGAGGGGAAGTTGGATTAGATCATCCAGTGATCCCTTTATAATCCAGGGCTCTCTAGAGACTCTACAAATGGCTCTTCAAACCTCCTCCCTCAGCTCTTTTATTGGCACAACAACCAAAACAACCCTCCAGCTCCCGTTCTGCAGGGTTTCACCGTGCCATGGGTTTTAGCTGTGCCAGTGTCCCAGGAGCATTCGCCTCCACGGAAGCTGAAGCTGCTGTTTAATCTCAGCTTGTGTGGGGTATAAAATCCTGAGCTTGGGTGGGATTTGGGAAGACTTGTAGGTGGGTGACAGGATGAGGACCACACAAGGACAGAGACCAACCCAGGCAGAGGGCCAGGATGGCTCCCTTTGGAGCTCCAGGGCTGTGCTTGCATGTGTGGGGGTTATTTGCAGGTAACAGCAGCTCCTGGCTTTTTCCAGGTCACCCCAGGGAGAGGCAATGCAGCCCATCCTCTCCCTCCTCTCCCATGTCTCCACATCTGCAAATGTTGCGTAGAATGATAGAATGTTAAGGGTTTGGAAGGGACCTTAGAGATCACTTAGTCCAACCGCCCCTGCCATGGGCAGGAGCTCCTCCCACTACACCAGGTTGCTCAAAGTTTTGCCCAACCTGCATCCAGCTTATCCAACAGATAACAGATTTGGCAAATAACAAGGGAGGCTCATGACACCACCCTCAAGGCTCTGGCTGGGGAGGCATCCAGAGCATAGGAGAGCCAATATCTGGGGTATTCACCCCAAATCACAGAGCTGATGGCATGAAGTAAAGGATGTGCTGGGGGAGGAGAGGACATGGGCTGTGCTTCGCAACTGTGTCAATACTGACTGTGCTGCCTGCTCCAAATGGAGGAAAAGTGACACTTCTAATTGAGCTGACTCAAAGCAGAGTCTGATAGGAATTTCAGCACAAAGCACAGCAAACGTCATCACTGCCTGTGGCAGCCCAGGTGAATCTGGAGTTCTTCTGATGCTGCAAACCACCTGGGTCAAAGCTCAGGCCCTTCATGGCCGCTGCCTCTGCTTGGAAAAATGACAGATGAAAAAGGAAAGAACAAGGAAATGAGATTTAGCTGGGAGCTGGTTGTGTCTGATCTAAAGTGATAAACTTGTGTTGCCTTTGGTCCCATAACACCCAGTTCAGAAGGATACTGAGCTGAGCAGTGCCATGCTCACCCTGGGTGAAGGCTGCAGATCCTCTCTTCATGCTTTGCTGCAGATCACACACAACTCATCCTGCACATCCTAGAGCAGCTCAAAGTCCATGGCAGGTGCAGGGTACACAGCCCCTAAAGAGCCCATTTTTCATAGAGCTGTTTGCTTCTGCAGTCACATCTGCCAGCATCCACCACAGTTTTATGTGCAGAGAAGGGAACAGAGCTGGGAAAGGGTCTGATGAGGAGCAGCCAAGGGAGCTGTGAGAGCTCAGCCTGGAGAACAGGAGGCTCAGGAAGGACCTTCTCACTCTCTACAACTCCCTAACAGGAGGTTGGAGCCAGGTGGGGGTTGGGCTCTGCTCCTAGGGAGCAAGGGACAGAATGAGTAGCAATGGCCTCCCGTTGTACCAGGGGAGGCTTAGGTTGGATATTAGGGGAAAATTCTTCACAGAAAGGGTTGTCCAGCCCTGGCACAGACCACAGAGCTGTGGTGGAGTCCCCATCCCTGGAGGGATTTAAAAGCCACGTGGATGTGGCACTCAGGAACATGAATTAGTGGTGGCCTTGTCTGTGCTGTGGGAATGGTTGGACTCGATGGTCAGGCTTTTCCAACCCAAATGACTCTGACTTCATGAAGATCCCAAGGAGCATAGCCAGGCTGGGAGCAGTTACGCAGTGATGGGGCATAGAGCCAGTGCCCCGGACCTTTCTACTCCTAAAGCATCTAAAGATTCTGAAGTATCTAGTAAGCAGATCTGGGAGGTAAACCTGCAAGAGATTATTTCCTCTGCCTTTTGTTCCTGTGGTCATTTACTTGTTATAGGCAATTCAGTCACCCAGAGAAGCAGGGTGCTCCCAGTCCTGCGGGAAGAGATCCCCAAACCCAGAGGAGGCAGTTCTTCCCTTCAGGGCTGGTGACAGCACACACAGTCTGCAGCCACACGCTGTGTGGTCCCTTATCTCCGTCAGACATCTGCCAGAAATTCCTCCGGAGTCGCAGTGCTTGACTCGAGATGGATGGAGCCCTGGGTTCGCTGGGAATAGTGCTTGCCAGGATCCGGGGTCTCTTCACGACAGCTGCGCCAGGCCCGACC